ACGAAAATTCCTTCTCTTGACCTGGCAAATTCCATTCCAAGGAAGTATTTTAATGCTTCCAGATCTTTGACTTCAAAATCTTTAGCAAGTTTCTTCTTCAGTCTGGTCAACTCTTCAATGTCATCACCTGTCAAAATTATATCATCCACATACACAATTAAAACGGCAATTTTCCCTTCCTCACTGTGTTTGTAGAACATGGTATGGTCTACCTGACTCTGATGATACCCATGACTTTTCACAGCCTTTCTAAAGCGTTCAAACCACGCTCTTGGAGACTATTTCAAACCGTACAGGGATTTTCTGAGTTTACAGACTTTGCTCTGATCGTGTTTTCCTTCGAACCCAGGTGGCAAGCTCATAAACACTTCTTCTTCCAAGTTTTCATTTAAAAAGGCATTTTTTATGTCCAATTGATGTAATGGCCAGTTAGAATTGATTGCCAACAACAAGAAGACTCGGATAGAATTTATTTTTGCTACAGGAGCAAATGTCTCTTGGTAATCAATGCCGTACTTTTGCGTAAAACCTTTCGCCACAAGTCTTGCCTTGTACCTTTCCACACTACCATCAGCTTTACACTTAATAGTGAAAACCCATTTACACCCAACACTGCTGATTTCCAATTCGGATCATTTAGTGCTTCCTGAATGTTTCTTAGAACAAACAACTGAGAAATATTTGAAGCAAAGGCCTTATGTTTATGGGAAAGTTTATTATAAGACAAGTATTTGGCAATGGGATGCTGGGTACAGGTTCGGATTCCTTTTCTAACAGCTATAGGGATATCAAGGTCTTTAGGAACTTGGCTAGGCGACTCTGTACGATCAGAAATAGTAGGGACAACTGCAGACAAGTTAGGATTTAGAGTACCTTGAGTGTTCAGGGAGTCATTGCTTGGGACCTCTGATTGGCCTTGCTTAGGTTCAATAGTAGGATCTCTACTCTTTTGATGAGTCTTTTTCCTGTTATAAACCAGAAGCTCAGGATTCGGTTTTTTTGGAACCGTTGGTAGGATTTCTCCCTCTGTTTGAGATACAGTAAGGCTCGGTAGATTAGGACTAGGAGGCCCCAGGTTTCCTGATTCTAGAACATCATTTCCCTGTTTAAAAAGATCAGTGTTTAGAGTAATAGAGTGTGAGACAATAGTTTTAGGTAACGGAATATTAGTAGAAATCTTCCAAAAATTTTCTTCTCTCTTTCTCCCCCTGAAGAAAAGTTTTCTCAAAATAAGGATGATTTTCTAGAAAAAAGACATCCATATTGATAAACATTTTTTTTGTTTTCAGATTGAAGCATTTGTATTCCTTTTTATTCGGGGCATACCCAACAAAAATACACATTTTTCAGCCTGAGGATCCAATTTAGACCGAAATCTACTAGGTAAATGGACAAAGACAGTGCACCCAAATACTTTCAAAGGCAGGTTGGAATAAATCCGAGTTTCAGGAAAAGATTTTTTAAGGCTTTCAAGGGGTGTAAAATAGTTAAGAACACAAGTAGGCATCCTGTTAATCAAATATGTTGCTGTTAAAACGGCTTCACCCCACAAATACTTAGGAACATTCATTGAAAACATGATGGCACGAGAAACTTCAAGTAGATGTTTATTCTTTCTTTCAGCAATTCCGTTTTGTTGGGGTGTGTCAACACAAGTGGTTTGGTGAAAAATTCCTTTTTCTGCTAAAAAACTTCCTAAAACTTCATTATAGTATTCGGTGCCGTTATCAGTATGAAGAATGCCAATTTTTGTTTGAAATTGATTTTCAATCATCATATAAAAATCCTTGAATAATTTTTCAACCTCAGATTTTTCATTCATTAAATACACCCAACACAAACGTGTATGATCATCAATAAAAGTCACAAACCATTTTTTTTCCAGAAAGAGTTGTGATCCTAGAAGGGCCCCAAACATCATTATGGATTAAATAAGATGGTTTTGATGTTTGGTAAGGTTTGGGAGAATACGTAGTACGATGACTCTTTGATAAAAAACAATTCTCACAATAAAAAGATGAACAATCCAATCATTTAAACAAAGTTGGAAATAATTTTATAAGATAAGGGAAACTAGGATGCCCTAACCTAAAATGCCATAGCATTATTTGTTCTCTAACAGGGATAGAATGAAAACTACTCAAACCTTGAGCCTTTTTATTACTTGTAATATCATCTTCAAAATAGTAGAGACCATTTATCATCTTATCACTGCCAATCGTCTTCCCCAAGCTCTGGTCCTGAAATTCACAATAGGATTCAAAAAAGATAACATGACAATTAGAGTCTTTGGACAATTTACTAACTGATAAAAGGTTATAAGCAAGCTTAGGGACATGAAGGGATAGACTTAAGATCAATAATTTTTGAAAATTTTACCAAACCTTTGCCTGCAATAGGAGAATAAGAACCATCAGCTATTCTGTTTTTTTCAGAGCCAGAACAGGGTGAATAAGTTTGAAATAAATGAGAAAAACTTGTCATATGGTCAGAAGCCCCCGAATCAATGATCCATGGGGTAACACTGGAATTTGAACGACAAGATAAGGCCTTCGGGTTGTTACCTGTTTGAGCAAGAGAAGCATTAGGAGTACCAGATGAGGAATTCAATTTCAGCAATTTTAGAAGATGATCCATCTGTTCTTTGCTGAAGGGAAGTGCCTCGGCTTCATGAGCTGATGGGGCACGGTTGAATCTGCCTTCCTGCTTACTCTTCCAATTTGCTGTTTACTATGAATTTTCTTGCAGGTTTCACGGGTATAGCGAGGCTTGTTGCAGTGGTCACACCAAAGACGGGGCTTTTCATCTTTCTTCCTGCCAATATTCGCTTCAGATGCGACTAGGGCAGAGGTCTCAACAACACCATTTGATAACTTTTTTCCAAGCATGACTAGCTTGCGACTTTCCTCTCTTCGAACCTCGGAGAAGACTTCACCGATTAAAGGCAGGGGCTGTCATCCAATTATTCTGCCTCTCACTTCATCAAACTCGACATTGAGTCCAATGAGAAACTTGAAGATGCCGTTGTCTTCCACCTTCTTTTTGTAATGGTTGCAATCTTCAGGCGATTTCCACTCATAATCGCTGAACAAATCAAGGTCCTGCCACAAACGTTTTAGAGAGTTGAAATATTTTGTAACACTGTTATCTCCTTGACGGATCTCTCCGAGTTTTAGCGTTAGTTCATAGACTTGAGACTGATTTCCCAGGTCTGAATACATCTAGTTGACATTGTCCCAGAGTTCTTTTGCTGTGTGGTAACACATATAATTAGAACTGATGTCCTTCTCCATAGAATTCACCAACCAGGTCATCACCATCGAATTCTCTACATCCCAGGTCGAGTAGGATGGATCTTCAGGTTTCGATTCCTTCTTTTCTCCCGCCAGGTAGCCGATTTTGCCTCTGCCTCGGATGTACATCAGCACAGACTGGGACTGGGACCAGCGAAGGAAGTTTTCACCGTTTAGCCGAATTGTGGTAATCTGGACTGAGTGTGTCTGAGAGTTTTGGACTTGGGACTCGGAGGTCTTGGTCTTGGAGGTACATCATCAGACATGGTGATTAGGGTTGTTTGGAAGAGAGAAAAAAAGAGACGGCTAGGGGTTTTTTTTTCCAGAAGAATCGGTAAGATGCTCTAATACCAAATAGGCGATTTCAAGATTGAAAAGAATCTGTATATTGCTGTACAAAGAATGGTTTACAATGCTTTAGTTAAATAGGAAATACAAGGAGCTCAAAAAAGGAAACTACAGGCTGTACACTAACAGAATTTCCTAATCTTAGTCATTGACTATCTATATTTAAATGCCTATCATATCCCCTAAAATCTGGTCTTATTAAAACCGAATATCTCTTTTTCAACATATTCTCTCACTCACTCACCTGTCCTGATATGTGTGAGGGTTGCCTTACCTTTGAAGCATCGGTTGAACTTGCTTTTCTATCCACACTTGGAACAGGATTTGACAAGACTTGAATAAGAAAATTACGAGTCATTAAGATCTTTTGACACAATAATTGCCAACACAAAGAGGCTAAGTTGTACCAGGTTAAGATTTTGTATAGAATTTTCTAGTTTAGATTCCCTTAAGAAAGTTTGTAATTTCTATCGACTGAAAATAGTATGGCCTTCATGCATTAAGACAACTAGTTAGTGGGAGGACAAATAATTAGTTGCCTTGTGGATTTCCAATCTTAATATGATTGGTCTGAACATTCACAAATTTTAACGGATTTTAAGATTAATCAGATGCTTCTTTTTACATGTTTAGGTTGTTTTTCAGCTTGCTACACCTAGTTAATTATCTGGTCAGCTGTGTTGCCTGACATTCGCGTAAACAATAAGGTTTTGATTTCAGAGATATCTACTTGTTTTACTTTTCTTTTTTTTCCCTTCCCCCCCCCCCCCCCCCCCCTTTTTGGGGAAAACATTTGTGTTTAACTTATCCGTGGAAAAAAGAGTAGTGATACTCACGCCGAAGCCTAACCGAATACTTTGATTGGTTATTTATGCAAAATACAAGCAAGTGGAGGGCCCCACTCCCTTATTTCTTGCATAGATGACCAATTAAAAATAGTAGGTCTGGCAATTCACTGCAACAACTCGGTGTAAAAATCATTTTCCTTAAGATAATGCCACCAAAGTTAAACATGTATAGATGACCAAAATAAAATTCATTTAATTTTGCTTACATTTGGCCGAGGAGATATCTGAATGTACTATTTTTGGCAATTGGCTTGATCCATCCCAAATGTATTGTGTTTTTCCAGAGGGATGAACGTGGCTCATTCATTTTTTGCTCTTCTCTAAGGAACTTATCTTCCAAAATATGTGACACCTACTTGTCTACTTTTCTTCAAAAATTATTTCATGCTTTCTTTCTCTTGTCCTTTCATGCATGTGCCTTTTTTAATTTTATCATCATCATTGTCATCTTCATCTTCATTACATTTCAGGCAGCTATTTCAGTTTAACAACATCTTTAATTCATATCCAGACAGGTTTTAATATGGAGGAGATTTTACGCAAGTACATTCGGTATGCACTGAATGAAAAGCCCTTTAACCCAGACTTGGTTGCAAACTTGATCCAGCTCAGGAAAGCATCTATGCTGGATGACTCTCAAGTTACCGAAATACTAAATGAAATTTCAAGGCGGATTGTGAAAGACAAAGGTAATTAATTGTACAACTGCAAAAATATTTGCATCTGGGCGCACATTATTCGCATTTGACCTATGTCAGAATAATTTGAGATTTCAGGGGGAAAAAAAAAATAATAATAATAATATGAGATGGGTAAGATGATGGACAGAATATATACTTCTTAGTCTCTGTAGGCTGGAAAGTTTTTATTTTTATTTTTATACTTTTTGATAGGGATTGATTTTCATAATCATTATCTTCAATGTATGAACAGTTTTACCAAATTTGAGCCATTTTCTTAGACAAACATGACAATAATTATACATCTCAAGTAATAGCGTTCTTATACGGATCCATCAATAAGAAGTGGTATTTAATTAGCTCGAGACTCATCTTACGGTGTTACATTTATATCACACATGGCAGTATTTAATAATTTATTTTTTTAACAAAATTAAAATGCCTTTACCCAGTTGGTCTTCAATTAAGGGTGCTAGGAGCGATGGGTTCAGCACAGACCTAATTCTTGGCATTGTTTACACTAAGGGCCTGTTTGGGAAGTGTTCCCAAGTGTTGTGTAATGCTCCCAGGCCGCTACAGTAGCCCATTTTGAGTCCACAACATGTTTGGCCCGCCTTGTTTTGTTCCCAACAGTAGCAGTACACTTCCAATATTTGGACCAAAAGCTGGAACAACAATTTTGTGTTTTATGTTGTTCCAGGCCCCCTTTTTTTCTCTGTAGCGGGGATAATAATAAATTTTTTTTAGGGCAAATCATTTCAGCCTCCCAATCGCCTCTGTCTCTATTCTCGTTCTCAACTCTGGAACTTGCTCCCTCTCTCTCTCTCCAACTGCAAACAAAATCTACAAGGATCAGAAGTTCAAAACCCGCCACCATCTCTATTCTCGTTCTCAACTCTGAACTTGCCCTCTCTCTCTCTCTCTCTCTCTCTCTGCAACTGCAAACTACAAAATCTGCAAGAATCAGAAGTTCAAAACCCATATATTTCAGTTTATGTATCTCTCAACTTAAAATCTCTCTCCCTCTCTCTCTCTCTCTAAATCTCAATTTCTCTCTAGAATCTCTTCACCTTCTCTCTCTAATTTATGCCGTTGACAGAGTCTGCGTTTTAGGGCTTTGTTCTCCTTTGTTATTTGTGAAGTCTCAGGTATAGCAGTAGCTTCTCTATAATTTAGGTAATATTTTCCCTAAAAATTAGTTTATGTATCTGTCTGCAAGAATCAAAAGTTCAAAACCTATTACCTATATCAAAACCCCCATATCGGCAAATCATTTCAGATAGTTCAAAAAATCAAAACCCATATCTTTCAGTTTCCATCGGCCGCTGTTCCAGTTCTGGTTCGCCGTTCGCAAGCTTCAGCCGCTCTCTCAACTCTCAAGCTTGCCCCTTCTCTCTCTCTGCAATTGCTAACCTGTGTGTTTGGGTTTTGTTTTAATTTTTTTTCTAAATCAACTAATCAAGCTCTGTAATTCTTGTTTTGCAAACTAATCAAGCTCTGTAATTAATTTATTTTAATCATCCAAAAAGAAAAAAAAAAAAAATTTCTATTTCAAAATTTTCACCACAAATTTTCGTCGCCAAACATGTTTTGTTCTCATTTCAGAACACCACATCACAAAACACTTGTTCTGTTCTAGGCTAAAACAAAACACTACAAAACACAACACTTCCCAAACGGGCCCTAAGTGACTGTCTTAGACCCAAATCAGCATTCTCACACTTGACAGTCCATTCTTTTGCAACTGCAACCAGCAATGACTGTTTTTATTTGTAAAAATATAATCAATTAAGTATACTTATAAAATAACTGGCACTTGCATTATTTGTTACAAAAGTTGTCTTCTTTGTCCTTATTTGGTGCCAAATTGCAGCTTCCATGTAATTGAAATTACTTTCCCTCTCACTTTGGGCATGTGGTGCAATGTTTTTGTGTTATATGGGTTATGTACTACAAAAGTAGCCTCTGGTACTAACCATCATTGAAACTATTGTTCTTTCCCATGACTATCATGCGTGCAGCAGAAACATATGCTCGTATTCTTGTCCTTTTTCTTACCCTCTGAAGTTTCATATATATTTTTTTATGTCACTGATTGTAGGTTCTATTTAAAGTGTTCCACTAAAAAATATATATATATCTTCATTTTTCCCTTGTATAATGTTTAATTTTGGAATTAATCTTTAGAAATAGAACTTATCCAGATCTCTACTTCTTCGCAGATACATTATCTGTCTAGCAGTGAAAAAACAAAACAAATAAAAGGACCTCAAATGCTTGCACGATAGATGCTTAGGGAAGCCCAGCTGATCCCCAAGAAAACATTTTCATTTAAAATAAATAGGTTGTCACCAAGAGCTTAGCTCTAATTGTATCTCCTCTGCTTTCCATGTGGAAGATTGAGTGTTCAAGTTTCCAGACTCCATAACGGGCAACTGTGGGTGTGTGCGCGTCTTAATTGCCTAAAATAATAATAAATAAAAAAGACGTAGAGGAAATAAAAAGAAAAAAGGAACAGGGTCAGAATCTTATGGAACCTGTCCAAGATGCTGTCAGTACTCTTGTTCTAACGATGTTAAAGTATTTAGGACAATGAAACTATCGACAGTCTGCAATCTTAGACATCTGTCGCAGGCTCACTGCACCTTTGACATCTGTCACAGCGCTCACTGTTTTAACCTGAGTGGAAAATCATGCAAGTAACAAGTTACAAGAGTAAATTAAGCATGTGCATTGCATTGCGGTGCCTACTGTTTACACAAAATTGAATTAGGATAGAAGGAATAGAAATAGAAGATGTTGAGGAATCACACCTTGCTAGGATAGGAAAAATCACAGGCTCTAGGAAGGCATAGACAATGACACCTGAGAGGTGAAATCGTTGCTGAATTTGGCCCCTGCTGATCACACCTTGCAAGGATAGGAAAAATCACAGGCTCTAGGAAGGCATTGACAATGACACCCGAGAGGTGAATTCATTGCTGAATTTGGCCCCTACTGATTACTATTAAAAGCAACTTGTTTGAAAAAGTAACTGAAATCAGAAGAATACTTTCGTATGCTGCACTGCGATTTATTATTAGAAGAATTGATGCAATGCCTATTACATGCTGATTGTTAGTCTCTGCATTTTAGGTCCAGTAGTCATGGATATGTCAGGCTATTCTGAAAAGGGTTTCAAGAGAAAACTTGCTGTGCAAGCTCTTTTTGGCAAGGTTTATTATTTATCCGAGGTAAGTGGCTGAAGATTCAGTATGGTGACTTTTTACCAACTACTGTTCTCCTTAAAGGTCTTTGTATTTTTTTTCTCTCATGAGTGCTAGTTTTTCACTTTTGTTTCCAAGAAATATTCTATTGAAAACGACTTGTGTTAAATTTTTATCAGTCATCATTTCATAAAGGAAGGATTGAAGGAGTTGTCAATAGTTTTATTACATTGTCCTACAAGACGTTACAGCTTGGTGGGGTGAACCAATCACTACGTATGACCCTTTGGTTCTCACTTATCAAGTGGTCGTCCCTTTCTGGAAACATGAAGTTGTATTTGATTCAGTTTTTAATTATATTTTCCTAAAACCCAGCCATCAAAATTCATCATATTTTTAACATGGTTTACTAAATTGATTATTGCTTAATTTTAATTTTGTTTTTGTTAGTAGATATGATAGCCACGATTTATGGAATGACTTACCGTATTAGGAGATATTTGATTATGCTATAGAATATGCTATAGAAAATGTTGTGATTTGATTTAGTTTCCTTTCTTGTAATATGAGCATGTGCTCTTTTTATCTATAAATACTAAAGTTGTGAATGAGTGATTAATCTCATTCAAGCCTTTACACAATTCTCTCACGATTTTTTATTATTATTATTATTATTATTATTTTCTTCTTCTTGTTATCAGTGCTAGGGTGGTCCGACTGCAATGAGGGCATTGTGAGTTCGGCACCACCCATTCGGGAATGGTCTAATGACCATTCGGGAGGTGTTGTGTAGGCAAGGTGGTCCGACCTCAATAAGGGCGTTCCGAGTTTAGCACCACCCATTTAGAAACAGTCTGAGGAGACATAGTTGTTTCTTTTTGGGTTAATTACAATGACACCCCCTAAGGTTTGCCCTATTGACAGCCATATACAAGTTAACCCACTTTTGAACAATGACAACACCCCTCAGATTTGCTACCTTTGACAAAGACACCCATTGAGGGCCTGAAATGTGGTAAAATGACCCAAGTGCCCTTTGACTTAAGAAATGACACTTTTGAATAGCGAAATTACTAAGTTACCAAAGGCCAAAATAACCTCTCCCACATCTCTCTATACGCAAATATTGTCAATATATACATAACCTGATATATATATATATATATATATGTATATGTATATATATCACATATGCGTTCCAACGTATCAGTGGGATTGCCGGAGCCCTGGGTTGAAATTGCATGTATATAATGGTTCTCCAACGTACTACTTATTAAAAAAAAATAATGGTTTTCCAACATACCAATGGGTTGGTCGTCGGAGCTCTGCGCTGGAATCGTCAAAACCCTAGAATCAGCAGTGCTATAAAATCGCCCAAATCGTGCCAAACTTTTGTTAATAACACACCAAACAGAACTTCTTTGATCATCAATATGTATATGTACATAGACAACACTTTGCGATCTGGGTCTCTACCAGTATATATATATATATATATATCGATTCAAATATACCGATCTGTGGCAAGAACAAAGTGTGTTTTGTTGCCACCGCTCGGAACGACATCGTCGACAGCCAACAATCCTCTGACTTCTTTAAGCCTTTTGCTTCCCAGAGTAGATTCAAGCGAGATTTCAGATTGCGCAAATGAATCAGATTCAATTAATTCCAGTGATACCACCACCGCCGCCGCCGTAACCTCCAACCACAGTCTCATGATGCAAATGGATCTGGATTGATCTGTGGGTTGCTCCTCTGTTTGTTTTTGCACAGATCAAGCATGGTGGGTGGTGATAAGAGAGATGTGATACTGTGCAATCACCGATGGGTGGAGAGAGACGGTGGTGGCAGCTATGGTTGAGGAGAAGTGGTGGCAGCGGTTGTGGTTAGGAGAAGTGGTGGTGGCAGCTGTGGTTGAGGAGATGGTGGCGGCAGATGTGGTTGAGGAGAGGTGGTGGTGGCTGTGGTTGAGGAGATGGTGGCGGTAGGTGGTGAGTGGAGAGAGGGGGAAAGAAGGGGTGGGTAGTGGTGAAGGTGGGTGGTGGTGACGATTCTGGGCGATGGTGGGGGAGGTTGTCTGTTTTCTTGTGGGGAAGGTTGTCTTGCTTGTAGGGGTGCAACTTGGGCGGGCCAACTCGAACCCAGTTGAAAATTTTCGAACTTGGGTTTTTTAATTCACAAATTGGGCTCAAATTGGGTTGGGTTTTCTCAAAACCCAGCTATGTTCAGGTTGGTCTTGGGTTCAACCCAAACCCAACCTGAAAGTTTTTTAAAAATATATATATTTTTGCACTTTCCGGATCATGGAAACCAGAAATTAAAAAAAAAAAAAAAAAAAAAAAATTCCAAATCCTTTTGTTATTTACACTTTCCAGATCATGGAATCCAGAAATAAAAAAATAAATCCAAATTTCTGTTTATTTATTTATTTTTTTTTTTGGCACCTTCTAGATCTTGGACACCTTAAAAAAACGATGCACATTTTGATAATGTCATTCGATTTGGAAGGTGAAAAAAAAAAGATTTTGAATTATTTATTTATTTATTTCGAGTTTCATGATCTTAAAGCTACAAAAAAAAACAAAAAAAAAATGTGCATCATTTTTTAAAAACCCTAGACTCCATAGTTGCTCTCACTATAGTAAATTCAAGATCCTAAAGAAAAAGGAGTTGATCTTTGATATATATATATATATATATATATATATATGATTGCACGTGTTGATGGAGATAGGGAGAGAAAACCTGAATGGAGAGAGTAAAGAGAGAAACGGGTATCAAGGAATCGTCGGCAGCCTTATCTCATACGTATTTGGAGGCAACAACGGAGGAAACAACCTGTAAGTTAATGACCTTTAGGGTTTTTCTCTCTCTTTCTTACCTTTTGTTCAAAGTCTTTTAGTTTGTTCTCCGGTGGCTTGTGTTAGGGTTTCCTCTCATATACACGTATATAAGTTGTTTTAGGGTTTTTGTTTAGAATAATTTGAAAATAAAAATTTATTTAATAACAAACAAAAAGAAAAAGGTTTTTTTTTATTTTTATATTTAAAATTAAATAAGATAAGTTTTATTTTTTGTATTAATGAAAATAATATTAGAGTTGGAAGCACACAAAAATTAATAATTGAATATTAGATCCGGAAAAAATAAAAGAGTAGTAATGAATTGAAATTTTAAATTTTTTCAAAAAAATTGATATTTTCAAATTGAGATGTAATTCACATATAAAAAAAAAATAAAAAAAATAAAAAAAGAGTTACAAATTGGACAAGTCAACCCGTCCGGCCCGAAATTATTCGGGTTCGGGTTACTTGGAGCCCAGATCTGGATTGACCTTGGGTCGGCCCAGCCCAACCCGACTTCGGATTGAGTTTAGGTTGGGACTGGGCTGGGTAGGGCCTGCCCAACTTGCACCCCTACTTGCTTGTGGGTGATAGGGTGATGGTGGTGGCGATTGTGATCGGAGCTTTGAATTCGAGCATTGCACTGTCAACGGCGAGCTGGATTTGATGCAGAAGATAGAGAGAAAATAAACACTGGTTCAGTGGTTGAATGGGTTAGGTGAGATTGGTAGAAGGGCAAAAGTGTCATTTTAAAATTCTAATATTTTACAATTAAAATTAGTTAAATGTTGATGGGCAATTTTGTCTTTTCAAACCTTTTAAGGGTCTGTTTGGTTCAACATTTTGTCAGGGGGTGTCATTGCCTAAAAAATGTCCAACTTGTATATGAGTGTCATTATGGCAAACCTCAGGGGGTATTGTTGTAATTAACCCTTTCTTTTTTATGATCTGAGGAGACATAGTTATTCTTTTCTATGGTCTGATTATACATTGTTGATTCTTTCATCTACATTGTTTAAATATATGTATGAAAGGGAATGGTCTAAGGAGACATTATTGTTTGTTTACAGTCTGAGAAGACATGATTGGTTATTTATGGTATGGTCTGAGGAGACATTTTTTATTCGTTGATCGACACTTCATTTGAGAGAAAATCATTACTAGTCAGATTTGCAGTCTGCAACGTATAGATTCTGAGTAGATTCTGAAGAAGGGTGCTAACAAGATTGTGTTTGAAGATGCATTGTCCAAGTTGGGTGTTTCAGATATCCACGCAACAACTTGAGTGGGAGTGTTAGCAGATATGATAGCCACAACGTATGGAATAACTTACCGTATTAGCAGATATTTGATTATGCTATAGAAAATATTGTGATTTGATTTAGATTTGATTTAGTTTCCTTTCTTGTAATATGAGCATGTGCTCTTTTTATCTATAAACATTAGAGTTGTGAATGGGTGATTAATCTCATTTAAAGCCTTTACACAATTCTCTCATTCTTCTTTTTATATTTCTTCTGTTTTATTTTTGAAAGTGACGTACAAGACATCATAAGTCAGCATGTGGTCAATCTGGTAATCTTAGAGTTCTGTTGGTACTTGTGATTTTGTTTGCAACTGGGGGCTTTCAAACCAAGTTGCCACTTGATTTCTTTTGAATCATATACTGTTGAAATGAGTTGAATTTTTATTTTACTTTTTGGACCAGCTGCCAGAGTTCTGTTCAAGGGATAACTCATTGATTGTAAAAGAAATATTCGGGGTTGCAGAGTAAGCTTTATCTTTCTAACTCTCAGAGTCATTATATGGATGCTATATAGTTGTACTGATAGTTTCTATTTCTTCTTGCATTTCTGAACTTCTCAGTGAAGACGCGGACAAGCTTCGGACACACACTCTCTCAGAAGCTGGGGATATGGATTCACTTGAGAAGATGGTTGGGGATTCAGATGTAGAAGATTCGGGTGATGGCCCGTCCAATGCTTCATGATTACATGCATCAAGTGCACGGTGTTTCGCTTTAGAAAATGGCTGGGGAGTTTACCCAATTGGAAATTGCCAGCACCAATAGTTACACACTATACATGTTCTTAGACCATGTTTTTGTTGCAACAATTTTTATTTTCATAGTTTTGTTCGAGGATCAGTTCATAGAATAATTTTGGCATGTAGTATCTTCATATTTTTGTGTTCATTGCCTTTTTTTTTTTTTTGGGTCCCCTTGAAAATTGGTTTTGCCAAGCCCTATGTCATCTGAAATGTTGAAACTGTTATAGGCAGGTTGCATCACTTTTTTTTCTTAGTTGGGTACTAACACACACATGCCTCTACGGAAGTTTGAATCCCTGACCTCTCTTTGCGAAGTGGGGGTTTGGTACTATTAGGCCACTGGCCTGTTGGTCAGGTTGCATCACTTGAAACAACAATAGTCTATGGTTTGGTTGGAGCTTATTGTTCTGTACCTTAGTTTTGGCCATAATGACCATAAGTCATAAAGCTACAGCGGAAGCACAAAGCAGCAAAATTAAGTCACAAATTGTGAGAATGGGGACGAGATTGAACACGGAGCTAGAGAGTTGCACCCGTCGAGAATGATTGCGTCACTTAGGATGGACATAACTAAAAAAAAATAATTAAACGTGACAAGATAGATTATGGATTGGGTTGATATTGGAATTTGGAAGATGTTTTTGGTAGTTTATTTCTTGTGATCGTCAAATGAGGGGAAAACAATAAAAAGTTAATTAGAATTCCTTTGAAAATCTCGATAATGCAGAATTGAATTGAAATTTAATGAATTACAAATGCTAGTAACTATAATAGGGATAATTTCTAAAAAATTGAATTACGGAGTATTGTGCCAAAATATGAAGTCAACGGCACCACTTTCCAAAATGATGAGTTTTTATCAAAAGATACGAAAAATTTACTATACCTTATTCTTTACTTTCAAAGTGTCCATAATTTTATCAAGGTATATATATAATATTCCCCAAAAACACTACGGCCATTGCCAACAACGTCGTCGCTCAACTGCCACCACAACTCTCTCTCTCTCCCTCTCCCTCTCTCGCTCTCTCTCTCTTCTTCCTCTATCTCTCCTTCGTTGCTCTCTCCCCTCTGTTTCCCTCTCTGCGATTCTCTCTACCATGGTCTCCAACCACCACTCCTAAAGACCATAAATATACAAAACATACACACATATAAACATACATGTATGTATATATTTTGTATAAGAAATAAAATTTGATTGATGCTCAAAGACCCAATTATATCTGCATATATATAATATATGCAAACATTCAATTAATTGCATCAGATTGGTATCCAAAATATTCTTTCAATAATATATATATATATTGGAATTAAGAATAAAAAATATACAAAAAGAACGGCCATTTAGAGCTGCAACTTTTGGACCTCATATTTCCAACCACGATGGTGGTTTAAAAAAGGATTAAGTACAAAAAAAATCCCTCTACTTTGGATATAGTACATATCAGTCCATGTATGGTAAAAAAAACTTCTTATATTATCAATTTGGTGCGAATAGGTCCCTGATGGTGTAAAATGACGATAATGCCATCACTTTAGTTAAATAAATTAATGATTATAAATACAGACCATGTAAAATGGCTCTTTTGTCCAAATTTGTATAAAATGGGATTTGTTTGGCAGAAGGATAATATAAACCTCAAATTGTATAAAATAGGGATAACCTAAACCTAAATATAATTAAATCTAAAACCAAACATGGCCTTTCTATTTTAAAATATAAATAAATTTATCATTTATATATATATATATATATATATGCACACCAATAAATTTGTTTTAGGGCAAATCATTTCAGCCTACGCCTCTGCCTCCATCGCTATTCTCGTTCTCAACTCTGAACTTGCCCCCCCTCTCTCTCTCTCTCTCTCTCTCTCTGTGCAACTGCAAACTACAAGAATCAGAAGTTCAAAACCCATATATTTTAGTTTATCTATCTGCTGCAAGAATCAAAAGTTCAAAACCCATATCGACATATCATTTCATATTGTTCGAAAAATCAAAACCCATATCTTTCTGTTTCCATCGCCAGCTGTTCCAGTTCGGGTTCGCCGTTCGCAAGCTTCAGCCGCTGTTCCAGTCCGAGTTCTGTAAACTACAATAATTCGTGTTAAGCCATTAATCACAAATTTACATGAATCCCATATCTTAGAACTTCATGATTTTCATATATCTATAATGCATAAATAAATACTAGTTAGATATAAATACCTCGATTCACGATATCAATTCTTGTTGAGATTAAATCCAACGTCCAAATCCTTTGGCCCAACAGGCAAATGTGGAAACTGGTTTCTCTCTCTTGGCCTTTTGTACACATAAAACTTTTACGTGTTGTTTCATTAATTGTACATAATTGATGGAGTATATGCACTTTTATAAAGGCAGAGAGAGGACCAGTTTTCCTTATAGTAACATAATTCTACTTTCTATCAAAGTAAGGAATAAAAAAGGAAAATACTTCTCCAATAAGTAATTACCAAAAAGGTAATTATAAGTTGACCAAAAATAAATAATATTAATTGATATCTATTTACTTACCCACCAAGTAATATGTCACATGTCCAAATCGTGTGGGCCATAATTAAATAAATAATCTTATAGGTTCAACAAGTGACCATTGATTCTGGCGAAAGCTAAGCTACATCCTGAGCTCCCGTGAACTGATCGACAGCAAGCTTCACGGCCTGCTTGCCTTCTCCGGTGACAAATCAGTGAACTCATCGACTTGCATTCGACTACGGTGAACAAAAACGGCAAGCTCTATTTCAGTTTTATGAGCTCACTGTTGCGTTTTTGCAACGGTGGGCCTAAGTAGCAAGGACATGTTGCTGAACTAAAGTGGGTTTTGCTGAAGAGGAATGCACCGAACTGACATAGGTTTTGCAGAAGCTTGGAGCTCACCGAAACTGGCCGGAGTGGACTTCACCGGAACTGGATATAGTCTTGGTAGGAAATACTGATAAACATTACCTTGTTTATTAGTCCGTCATCAACCAAGTTACTGCTAATACTCTTGAATAGTTCAAACAGTGCTTCAACTTCACTAACACTGACTGAGGAACAAGAAATCACATATAAGTTTTCTCTAGAAATCAAAATGAAACTGAAGTAAATACAGAAAAAAAAAAAAAAAAAAATACTCTGGTTTTCACTATTTAGCTTATATAACAGATTAATCTAAGAAGCTTTAGCCAAAACAATAATCAATCCTCAGATGATACTTAACTCAATAAATTCCAAAAGCCATCAAATTAAACAAGAATAATAAAATTTCACCATACTGACATAATAATTTTTATATTAAAAAAATAATAATAAATGAACTGAAACAAGAACTACTGGGTCCTCGTGTCCAGGAAATTGTTTTTTGCTATTGAATGAAAGCAGCCATTTACTGAAGAATAACAGCTTCTTCGGTGCACTACGAAACTAGTGCCTGATGTTGGGACTTCACTACAATATATCATCAAAACCATCTTACTGTTGGGTCTTCAATGAAATTTTTTGCTTCAACCCCAAGGTCAAAGCAGAGCCATCAAAATTCAAACACCATCATACAAAATGCACAATTGGTGAGTTTTTAAATTTCCCCCCATAGAATTGAAGCAGACATGGAGACAAAGAGAGAGAGTTTTTAAATTTTCTCCATAAAATTGAAGCAGACATGGAGAGAGAGAGAGAGGAATTGGGTTTAGGGGTGGGATCCTTAGATGCACAATTGGTGAGGACCTTTTATGCACAATTGGTGAGGGACAAAATGAGAAACAAAAGGGTAAAATGGGATTTTCAGTTTTATTTTTTGTAAAAAAGTGGTCAGAGGAACCAGTTATGCACTTTTTTAAAATTTTGTGGATTTGCATGCACACTTTTAAAAGGTAGGGGCTAGTTTTGCGCAAAGTCTATATATCAAGAGGGTTTTTTTGCACTTAACTCTTGAAAAAAAATTCATCCACTTTCAAACATTGCCAATTGGGTAATAAAAGAAAGGAGTGCTTCAATTTGGAAACTAATTTTTTTTACTGGAATTTTTTCTTTCGTGAACACAACCACACTCTCGATGTGTGTTGTGTGTATATATATATATATAATACATTGTGGGGAAGAAGAGTAAAGCAAGATGAGAGTGGGGCAAAGCCTGGGACGAGAAAGGACAACACGCTGGAGAATTTTGAGGGACAGCTCTGTAAATGGTATAATTGTTTTCCCAAAAAAGAGACCAAGAGAGAGAAAGGGTATGTGAAGGAGAGGAAGGGCACTTTGGTCATTAAGACATACTTTTATAAAATTCCATCATATTAAAAAAATTGACTTTAATTCCATCATTTTGACATAAGGCATCCATAATTCCATTTTTTAAAAATTATCCCTCTAATATTACTCTTTTGGATCAATGTTGGAATCCATTTGGATTTGAAATAGACTAATAGCACCTAGAATTACTATTTGAAAAATATATAAAAGATCATTGGGCCATGCGGGTTTTCCGGAATAATTATAACCCATCCCTTTAGTCAATTTAGTTCGGGATAGGTGAATTCTTATAGATCCATCCCTCGAAGGAACCGGACTTGATAATTTTTCATCATCCAGCTCCAGCAATTAGTGGTAATTTCTCTATTTCCCAAAGTGAGAGGGTGAGGGTTACAAGTTCCGTGGAAGTGAAAGGGTATATTTATATCCTATGTGCAATGAATTAGTAAACACTCTCATGCCGGTAAAGCATGTATTCTTTTTCTGACAAGAATGTTAGGGATTAATGGTTAAAGAGGGGGGAAGGGATCAAAGGGTGCAAAGGTTCAAATACGGGCTCTCGAATATGAAAAACAACTCAACCATTCGAACAACACCGCACTTACAAGTAATAGTTATTCAAGTATTCTAAATAAAGATTTTATTTTAATTTATATATATATATATATATATGCATATATTTATTATTATTATTATTATAATTATTTTGGGTTTGTTTGTCTGTATTTTTAAGTGTGATTGAATATCGTGGAACATAGCTGAATCATATGCTAAGTAGCATTCATCTCGAATCTTCAACCAACGCCAAATCTTCCTTGGCAAGAGCAAGCATGAACTTATTACAACAGAACACCGAATCCAATTTGTTTCACTCACCCTACCAGGGTCGTGAGATTCTGAAACATTTTGAGAGGTTTTTGGCGAATTTTCAAACACGAGGCCCTTTATACATAAAGTTTCATAGCGTAAAAAATTTCTAAGAATACAAAATTTTCATTAAAATGAGACTATAAGTACATAAAATATATTAATATTGAAAACACATAAAAATCAATTAAAGTGCTCTAATCAAGTTTCTCCAACATATCTTTTTTAATAGATATCATAGCGAATCCATTCAATCTCTCTTGTGACATCGTCGATCGTAAGTAAGATTTGATCAACTTCAACTTTAAAAAGTTTCTCTCAATAGATGAAACTGTAATTGAGATAGTCTATAATTTATTATTATATTTATTTTAATTAATTAATAAATCTTTTTATCTTTTCAGGTTATTTGTAATAAAAGATCAATTCCGAAATAAAAATGACAAACTTGTGAGAAACAGTTAGCAAGAACGTTTATATAATTTAAGTAGCGAAAGTTTGACACAAGAAACACCTCTTTTTTTATAGAAAAAAAACTGTGAGAGTCAATTTTTTATTTTTGGTGTTTTCTTCTTTCTGCAGGTGGATCTCAAAAATTCCAACTTTAGTTTATAATTTAGTGGCCCGGCCCAATATCCTTTTAATGTATTTTACCCAATTTCCTTTTAGAACCCACTAAGCCCATAACTTTTGGCCCAGTTTAGAGTTGGTGCAGTAAATGTCCACTGTAGCAAAAATTATTCCCGGTCCAGCAGTATTCCCAAAAAAAAAAAAAAAAAAAAAAAAAATCCTTGTTGAAGTCAATTGTTGAAACCGATTAGTGGGCCAGCCCAATTTCTTTTCTTTTTTCATTTAGGCCATTTAAATTATTTTTTACTTATTCCTTAAACAGCCTAGCTCAAATTCAGTCCCTAATGTTAGGGTAAGATTGCAACTATTTCTTTTCAAAGACAATGACAAATAGATTTCCTTATTATTCTGCTATCTTGATCAATAATGGTTTAATGTACTGTTATAAACAGGTCATAACAAAATGGCAAGAATATGCGGTACAATCGTCCATTGAAGAAATTTTTAAATGGTCTCGGGACCAGTGGTCCCGACCAAACTAATAAAAACTTACACATTTCCGATAAAATTGCTTACGGTGTCCAATGGTTATTGGCCATTTCACCTCGCTCCAAATAAGCATGATTTCCAGCTGCCGTAATTTGGGATATGGATATATAGACTTGATCCTAAACTCGTATCCTACACATTCATATGGGATTAAGGCAATGATATGATAATGATGACGCCGATGATTATCCTATACTTTGATCCCAAGTGTGAAGAAAAACATAAATTTTTGTACATAATAATATGAACAACTATGCATGATTAACTTTTTCCTAACCTTAAAATCTACTTAGGGCTTACAAATTTTAGCAGTCAACTTGTTTGGATATTGTCAAACTGAAGAATGATTCCAGTACTAGAGCACAGGATAATAAATAAGTAAATTAAATTAATAGAATCCTCAATGAAACAAATACATTTTGTAAAAGAAAATTTATCTATGCCCTAAAAAGATTTAGGTTCAAACTGGGAACTATCTATTCTGACTATTAACTGTTTATACTCTCAAATCCTGATCGTGACTTTTACCCATCAATATTGAAGTCCGTGATCGTACCAAGGAAAGAACATATAGCAGTGACAGAAAATGGCAGGCATGTTAGGAGTTTTTAGATCTTTCCTTCACCATGGTCTGAACAAAGAGCTCCCCTGCCCGGTATGAGGATCGAACCTGGAAAAGTCGATATAATAAGGTCAGGTAAAGATCTTGCAAGTGGGTTAGTGATAAAATGCAGGCTTCAAAAGTTACAAAAATGGAAATTAATTCTTTTACTCAATTGTGCCTGAACAAAGGTGGGTGATAATTTAAACTTTGGTTTGTTTTTTTCACAACAAATGAGTCAACTGCAGTCTTATCGATGATCAAATCAGTTTAGTACCATAAGGATCCAAGATGAATTGAAAATAATGAGTAATCTGAAATCTATATATTCTATCTGACCATTTTATTTTATTTGATTTTATTTTTGGAAAGTCTATCAGACCATTTTCACTCAGCCTACATGCATGTCTATCTAAACGGTCATTTCTGTGAAAATGAAAATAAAAGATCACTACCATCTGAGAGCAAATTAGATACAGAATTTTACCAGGGGTCCACTAGCCACATAACGGAAACCGATAGATTCTCCGTAATCTTTCCAGAAGGCAAATTTCTCCGGAGTAACATATTCTTTGACAGTCAGGTGCAATGGAGTTGGCTGCACAAACATAACACTTATTAATATTTATGTCCTCACATTGTTGGATAAAGCAAATGTGTTTTGCATGGACTTGTTCAGCCCATTAGGTGCCTGGGTTCTAGACAAACTTGAAGCATTTTGCTACTTGGGTACTGGACAAACTCGAAAAAAATTTTAACTTTAGAACTCCCGTGGGTGAGCAGCACCATTAAAGAAATGAAATGATTTAAGCTCAGCTGAAACCATCGGCCTGACCTTGATCTAAACTTCAGCTGAAATTATTCAACAAGGCAAGAATTTCAAGCTTCACAGGCATAAAAAAACATTTGCCAGAGGATACAAAACAATTTTGCAAAATCCATGGGCTTGGTCCCAACCCAGCCTCACCTCACCTTAAATTTCTGGACCTCTGAAAACTCAATCCCTTAACTCCCCGTGATGGGAGTCAACTAGATACCACAACACCAAAGACCAGTAATGGAATGCAATTCAGATATTAGCTCACCTGTAAATACTGTCCAAGTGTCAAAATATCAACATCTATGGCCCTCAAATCAGCCATGGTTTCCTTCAGTTCATCATCAGATTCACCAAGTCCTAGCATTATGGAAGATTTCGTTATCATACCCTCCTTACTGAGCTTTGCATGTTTTAGAACGGAAAAACTTTGATCGTACCTGCATCATCCAAAAAAAGATTTTAGCAATCAACTAAAGTAAATTTATTCTATAAATAAAAATATTCTATGGTATGGTTTCATAGGAAAATGGCATTTTATATTGATGTACATGATGAGTTGTAGGGGCATTGTTTGGTGCAGTGGTAAAAGGTTGGACTGATAAAAAGCAATAAACTGTGTTTGAGCTTGAGAGCAGCCACTTTTTGCAAGTAATGCCAAAAAGGTTTATCTCTAGTTTTCCCTCTCCAACACCCTGTGTAGGCAGGATGGATGTTAGGTAATGGCCTTTTTATAATGAGTTTATTTACAAGGGAAAAAATGTAACTTGAAACTATAAAATATTTAAGCACTAAAATAAAATTTCATTTAATATAATGGTGAGTGACAACTTTAATGGCAGCAATAATGAATGCCCGAAATCTTAGCAGAACCATGGAAGAAAAGGGAATCCAACAATCTTTAATAGTTCAGGCAAGCCAAGGGTTGTTCGAGCTCCGTTCCTTTTTGAAAATGGCTTAGAAGGTATGTTTCAAGCTCACTTTTTAATTATTAAACATACCTGCTATGAGCCTTTTGGGGAGCCTAGCCCCTAATATTGATGACTAGCACATTTTAACATGCAATAATAATGTGAAAGTCAATTAGATTGTTTAAGTTCTGTGAAATAAAGACAAATGACCATGCCTGTTAAGGAGTGACAGCTTAAGTTGGATCTCCATGAGAACAGGGGGAAATAAATCTGAATGCAAGAAGACATAAATCTGGATGCAATCTCAAAGAAGAGAGGCTAAGCAAGTTGGCAACAAGTCAATAAGTCTGCATGCAAACTCAAAGACACAACTTAAGGAACCTTATTGTCCACGGGGATTTCTTACATTCCAGTTCTAGAACGGACTGAAAGAACTAAAAATAAAGTTAAAGATTAGAAAAACTGCAAAAAGGAGGTTGGTTAGAAACATTCTTGTGGGTGCAGATAGTAATCATTCATCGAGTTATCTGGGTGTATATTTGGTAAACCACTAGTAAGGTAGCACTGAGACTTAAAAGATTTACTCATGATAAATGTAAATCTGCAAATTATTTAATTGAAGACATCCGGTAATCCAATTATTTATCCTAAAAATTAGCTAAGGATTGCCTGAATGAAATTTAAATTTGTAATAAACAAGTGAAAAGTATAACTAATTGTTTGATTGGACCAGAAGAGAGATGACTCAACTACAACTCACCCTGCCCGGGGATCTCTGACAATACGCTGGAGTCGTTTCACAGTCTCTATGTTGTGGGCAAAAACATCTAATCCTGAGTGTACCAGAGCCGTTACAGCATTTAAGTCACCTCGAAAATCAGAGGTTAAACATTCAACCATAATATCAGGCTTGAGTTTCTGCCCAGAGAGAAACAAATGCAAATTAGATTTTCTTTTTGCAATCCAATATTTTTTTCATAAAGAACTTCACAAATAAAAAGTCAGAGAAATGCAGACCTTCATAGCTTTGACAGTTTGAGCAAAATGACTACTCCCACCATCAGGTAAGTCATCACGATCAACACTGGTTAGAACAATGTAATCCACACTGCAAAAATATGGAACCAAAAAAGCTAATCATAACATCAACAACATCCATAGTTCAACCTGCACAAAGATGTAAAGCAAAAACAATTTAACTAGAGGAGGTTGCACAACCTATAGGCCATTACTTAGACTTACTGTGCAGGTTACTAGGAGGAGAAGACTGAAGCAGACCTAAACATTAACATTTCCGCAGAAAGTGACTGCTTTCGGACTTGAATACGGATCCTCACACTTGTCAACCTGAGGTTTTACCATGAGACACGCTATGTACATTTATAGTTCTAGGTTATATAATCTTTCATTTTGAAATAGGAGTATATTGAATTGCTTGAATTTACTATTTCACATTCAAGATAAATTCAAGATAGTGCAATAATTTGGACGTCTTATTAGTGGAGACCGAAAAGTAGAGATTAAATAGGTGACTTAATATTACAATGTAAGGGAAAATTAAAGATATTGTTCCAAATGCTAATGTATTGGAAGAACAAAAGAAAAACTTAAGTTCTTTCATTTTCAAGACCAAGATAACTTTCATCATCACATTGTCAACAATCTTTAATAATATTTATATAATCAGAGGAAGTTGACCTTTACTTTGATACCATTGACATTTATTATCAGACAATAGAACATGACTTCACATGATTTTATATATTTATTTATCCATTTTCGTATAAAACATATCACATGATTTTGACCTAAGAAGCACGGATACGAATTCGGGACATGGATACGACATGGCGCAGACACAAAGACAAATCAAATTGTAAAAAATTAAGATAAGGACATCGTGGGGACACGAGTCACACGACGACTAATAAATATATCTTTTTAAATATATATGATCTGTATTTTATGAGAAATATTATCTTTCATAATGATGAAAATTTCACAAATCATAATATTTCACAAGCTATAAAAATAATTAGTTTATGGTATAAGGAACTACACAATTGAATATATTCCACAACAAACCAACAGATCAATGACCTAGTCGTACCAAACCTCTACTTCCCAAAGGGAGGTCAAGGGATCGAGCCTCAATGGAGGCATGTGTGTGTGAGTACCAACTAAGAAAAAAAATATATACTCCACAACAACAATAACAATTGTTTTTAGTGATAAAGGTCTCAAGTAGATCAAGTTGTTTGGCCTCCCTTTGCATCTCTGGTGTCATGCTTTGTTCGTTGAAGTGGGAGAGCTTTGGAGTGGATATGTGAGATCTGATGCGGATGAGACAAGGGATGCCGAAAGCGTTCGGATAACAGTGAGATCCGGCCGTAAATGTCCAAAGTTCGTGTTTATTAATGACGACACCTTCTGTTACAAGGTCACGATTTGGGAAGAAATCTCGCCGGAGCTTGTTCCTTCAACAGAGAGTCTTGAAGGTAGTGACGGATCTCATCTTATGTCGGAAGAGAAATGGAATGAGATTCTCAGTAAAGGAAGAGAGAGGAAGGAGGGGGGGGGGGGGGGGGGGGTGTTCTCTCAGCAGAAGGATCGCGAAATTCAACAAGCAGTGAAGTACATAGGAGGTAGAAGACAAAGTGATCTTCACGTGCCAGCCAAATGCGTCGTTGATGAGCAGATAAGGAGTACACGTGAAGATCGACGAGGTGCTCCTCCTGATTCGGCCTTATCCTTATCTCTTGATGATAAGGTAGGGGAGGATTTGTCTTTTTAGGCTGAGGATGGCGGTGTGATGGGCTAGAAGATGTCTAGACAGGCTAGGACTGGGCCTGGTCTTAATCTTGGGCTTATTCAGCCTAAACCCAATAGAGCGAATTTTGGTTCTAGGCCTTTTCGATGGGTACAGAAAGGGCCACTTAAATTAGGGCCAAGTGGGCGGATTCAGGTTGGGCCTATTAGATCTGGGCCTAATAGAAGGGTGCGAAAAGGGCCAAACTCTTTATTTGTCTCTGGCCCTAAGCCATTTAAAGAAGTACAAGCCCATGCTAAGCCTTCGACTCATTTGCTGAAACCCGAGCAGAGGATGATGGATGTCGGTCGCCATGGATCTCGGTGGACTCGGAATGAAAAACAGAAATGGGTTGCACGAGCTCACACTTCATTTTCAGGTTTGAGTTCTGATCATTCTCAAAATGCTCTCTCTACTTCTACTTCTTCTTCTTCGGGTGGAGAGGTGAATAATAGGGATGTTGTGGAGGATGTTTCGATTCAACATAGGGGTCTTATTGGGTCTTCAGGTTAATGGTGTGATGGGTAAGAGTTGGATGTCTCAAAAGCCACAACTAGGAGTGTGGGTTGTTTCAATGGAGTGACAGTTTGCGTTGAGAAAGATCTGCACTTCAAGTTGAATAATGACTTAGCTGTAGCTCTGCTTAAAGAGCTTCGGCTCTTTGCTGCGTTTGAAGGTTTGAACAGTCAATCATTTGCGAATGAGGTGATTTTGTCAACTGAACATGATGATTCGGAAACAAAGGGGAATATGCAGTTAGGAGTGCTTGATGTTCCTTCTCAGCAACACCGTTCTAAAGATTCTTTTTTCGGGACGGATTTTGATCAATCTGAAGTGGATTTAATGGAACCTTTAGCAGTTGTACGGCCAAATTGTTTGGAGACGACCACTGATCTGGGCATGGAATGGGTTATCAAGAATATTGGAGCAGTAAGTGAAGCTTTGGGTGTCTCTTCAGAAGGGTATGAGGAACAAACCTTGTCTATTCTTCACGAAATTGTTGCAGGAAATGGTAGTACTGAACCTAATCGTGGCACAAAAGAAATCAAAGTCATAAATTCACATCGGAAAGGCGAACAGGAAGTGAAGAATCTGATTTCTTGTGTTAATTATGACGGGAAGAATGGGACGACCAAAGAAAGGGGAAGAACCAGAAGTGGTAAACGGGGAGGAGGAGGACAATTGATCGTTTTTGGTTCTACATGAAGCTACGACTTATAACATGGAATGTTCGGGGTCTAAATGATCCAAAAAGAAAAAGAGTTGTTAAGGTAGCTTTGAGGAAGTGGAGTGCTCATGTTGTTTGCTTATAGGAAACTAAGATGGCTGCTATTACCGTTGAGATTGTCAGGAGTCTTTGGGGAGGTAGGTTTGTGGAATGGGAAGTGCTGAACGCAACAGGCACTTCAGGTAGTATTCTTCTCATGTGGGATCGTAGGTGGCTGTCAAGTTTGAATTGTTAGAAGGGTATTTTTTCTGTGTCTTGTTTGCTTCAGATGGAGGAAGACAATTTCAGATGGGTGTTTTTAGGTGTTTATGGGCCTGTTACTGATAGTGATAGACCAGTCCTGTGGAAAGAGCTTTGCTATGTTAAGGATTTATGGTCATTGCCTTGGTGTTTAGGTGGGGATTTTAATTTTGTTAGGTCCCCATTTGAGAGGTCCAGAGGGGGCAGGTGGTCCTCAGAAATGACTATGTTTTCAGAATTCATTGATAGTAATTTCCTCATTGACCTACCATTGGAAGGAGCGGCCTTTACTTGGTCTAATGGTAGGGAACCGATTACCTTTTCCCGGTTGGATAGATTTCTGATTTCTAGGGCGTGGGAAAAGCATTTCCCGGATGTCTCTCAGGCTGTTCTGGTTAGAGTCACATCTGATCATGTGCCTTTAGTTCTTGATTATGGTTCAGTCTTGGTGGGAGGAAGCGAATTTCACAGGCTCTGCCAGTTATGTGTTAGCTAGAAAGTTTCAGTTTCTTAAAACTGAGTTAAAGAGGTGGAATAAAGAAGTGTTTGGGAATCTTGAATGGAAGAAGAATAGAGTTCTTGCTGATATTGCTGAGCTCAATCGTCTTGATGAGGTGGGACGGAGTGGGGAATCATTACGCTCTAAAAGAGCCTCTTGGCAAGCGGTTTTTGCTGAGATTGCTCTTATGGAGGAGATTTCGTGGCGCCAGAAGTCTCGGGCTTTGTGGTTAAAAGATGGGGATCGTAATACAAAATTCTTTCATAGACTTGCCAACGCTCACAGAAGATGTAATCACATCGGGCGTATCCGGGTCAATGGTTCTGAGTTATGGAGGGAGGACGAGGTGCACAGGGGGATCGTTTCTTTTTATCAGCAGCTCTACACTGAGACTTTGGATTAGAGACCTACTCTTGATGGTCTTCCTTTTAATTCTATTCTTGCGTTGGATAGTGATAGGATTGAGATTCCATTCACGGAGGAGGAAGTGCTTAAGGCACTTTCTAGTTGTAACAGGGACAAAGCTCCAGGGCCAGATGGGTTTACTATGCGGTTTCTTGAGGAGAGTTGGGAGGTGGTGCGAGCTGAGGTGATGGACACCTTTCAGGATTTTTATTCTCATGGCACATTGAGAAATCACTGAACGTATCTTTCATTGCTCTCATTCCCAATTAGCTTAATTGGATGTTTATATAAGCTTATTGCCAAGGTTCTTGTCTCCAGGATGAGTAATGTTTTGGATGGTCTCATTTCAGAATCACAGAATGCTTTTGTTGGTGGGAGGCAGATTTTGGATTCTGTTCTTATTACAGGGGAATGTGTTGACTCTAGATTAAAAAGTGGGGTTCCCGGCGTTTTGTGTAAGCTTGATATCGAGAAAGCTTATGATCATGTTATTTGGAAATTTGTTCTGTATCTGCTTAGGAGGATGGGGTTTGGTGACAGGTGGATAAAATGGATTGAAACTTGTATCTCGTCAGTTATGTTTTCTGTGCTCGTGAATGGTTCACTTGCGGGTTTTTTTGCTAGCTCGCATAGTCTGCGACAAGGAGACCCATTATCGTCTTTTCTTTTCCTTATTATCATGGAAGGTCTGAGCAGATTAATGAGAAAAGCGGAAGATTTGGGTTACATCAGGGGTTCAGTGTTGGTAAAGATGTTGAACATCAGATGCAGATCTCCCATTTGTTGTTTGCAGATGATACTTTGGTTTGTGATGCTGAAATTTCTTAACTTAGATATCTGAGGTGCATTCTTGCTTGCTTCCAAGCGGTTTCTAGGTTAAAGATTAATGTTGGAAAGAGTGTGCTTGTCCCAGTGGGGGTTGTTCCA